CCCCCCCCCCCTTTTCCGCAAACCTATTGCTATATATTTTATATTTAAATGACTCGTCCGTGTATTTTATTTTCTCCAGTTGTTCCGACCGCCCCAACCCCCTTTCCTTGCAACCGGTGGTTCCTGACACCCTATCACGAACCCCGTGAACAAAATAATGATCTCAGATTTTTTTTTGTTAAAGTCAAACCGCTTCCACCCCCCCCCCCTTTCCGTGCCTAATCCTGATATCGAGAATCGAGATTCCTTAACTATAGTTCTATAGTCGATTTTTTTCTTTCTCACTTGATCGTTAAATAATCAATTTATTTGTGAAATAATATCATCAAATAAATGTTAATTAAATTATGGCACCGAGAGACAGGGGTGGACTGGGGAGCTCAAGCGGCCCGCCAGGGGTGGACTGGGGAGTTCAAGCGGCCCGCCAGGGGTGGACTGGGGAGTTCAAGCGGCCCGCCAGGGGTGGACTGGGGAGTTCAAGCGGCCCGGGGAAAAAATAAAAAAAGCGGCCCTATCTTCATGACTTTTATTTTTATTATATCACCGGTCCTAGCTGCCCATCGGGAATCTTCCCGGTGTCCCGGCGGCCCAGTCAACCCCTTGCCAAGAGATACAAAAATCAAAAGCTAGAATAAAAAAAGCGGCCCTATCTTCATGACTTTTATTTTTATTATATCACCGGTCCTAGCGGCCCATCGGGAATCTTCCCGGTGTCCCGGCGGCCCAGTCCACCTCTTGCCAAGAGATACAAAAATCAAAAGCTAGACATTTCTCATCGTTTCTATAGACTTTTAGTTGACAAAAGTTACCGTTGGTATCAAGGGTATTATTTTATGACAAGTCCTGATATCAGAAAGATAACAAAATTTGCAGGTGAAGCCTTTGATAAGGGGGGGGGGGGGAGTACAAAGACCATTCAACAAATAAAATTATAACATTTTTCCTTACGTCAGCTTGTCAGGTAGACATACATAGAGAACGCGTATCGAATGGTGTGTAGATTCCAGCAACGGAGTCGGGTAAAAAAAAAAGGAAATGGTTGAACGTGGCGCACGCTCTTGCGATTAGCAACACGGGACAATGGGGCCCCAGTGGCATGACTACTGACAAAACACACAACATAGGTTCGCGCCGGCGGGCCCCACACGTCACTCCACGTTTGTTGACTGGGTTGCCGGGGGAGACCGCTCCGTGGTTGTGGGCGCAGAGCATTCTGGGTGGAGGGTATTTAAACCCCCGGACAAGCCCTACGACTGGTAAGTTTCAACAAAGTATTCGACCGTTCGACCGCTTCGCTTCTGCAATTTTTTAACCAGCCCCGACCACTAGACACAACACAAGATGCGTGAAATCGTACATCTCCAGGCTGGACAGTGCGGCAACCAGATCGGTGCCAAGGTAAGACTGAAATTCACACGTTATTTTTTTTTTTACAATCGAGAGGAAGAAATAGTTTTATTTTCCGCCACCAGAGACCATATACCTAGACCTAACACCTAGACCTAACACCTAGACCTAACACCTAGACCTAACACCTAGACCTAACACCTAGACCTAACACCTAGACCTAACACCTAGACCTAACACCTAGACCTAACACCTAGACCTAACATACGTGATACGACGATGTCCCGTGTCGAAATACCCAGGCTGTGGCAGATCCAGACATGTAGGACACCTACCCCGGGAACATGTTCCCCCACCCCAGGGTCATGTTTTCCCACTCCAGGGACATGCAGTGTGTAGTGTGCTATTAATTGAAAGTACCACAATTATGTAGTATTTGGCATTTTAAAAACCAAACGATTATTTGGTAGTGTGGTAGTGTACACCACTTAGTGTCGTATTGTACACCACTTAGTGTCGTATTGTACACCACTTAGTGTCGTATTGTACACCACTTGATTTATATCTGATTTAAGCCCCACACCTCCTCCCCCCCCCCGCACCCACTTTAAAAAAAAAATCCAAATAGTGATACCTCTGATAAAATGGACTGTTCTGTTAGTGCTGGAACAGGACTGTCAATACCCTATAAGGGATTACCCTTCAATAAAATGTGATAACCCCCCTTTCTTTTCTTCCCACACTCTCCCCGTTCAGTGTGATTAGACAGTATTCTATCAACTGACATGAGGTAGAGACGTATGTTGTTCGAATATGTCATGTTTGATTTGTGTAGTATTTCTCTAGACAGGTTTTCTCTATGCCAGGGCGCCCCCCTCCCCCTTCCCCCCTATAGTGTAATTATTTGGTCTCAGCTCATGTGTTTGATATCAAGACACCCACCAGGTGTTCAAGGCTTAACAAATTCATAACAAAAGGGTGGACTGGTCACCATTGGCTGCCACCAACCACTCAATCAAGTCACTCAGACACACCAAAACATACCGTGCGGTACCAAAAGCTTGTTTTAGCATATAGGCCTACTATAAGCTTGCAAATTTGATAGTTTCTCTGTAAACACTGAGGTCATTCGTAAAATGAAAACAACTCTTTGTCTTGGGGCAATAATTAATTATTAATAATACTCGAGGCATGTTGGCTACATTTTATGAAAATAACGTTGTCTCACACTCAAAATGACGAGTCCTATTGGCAATCATTGGTTAATGTAGACCGCCTCTTTGCCTGGTAAACATTCAAGTTTCATTTTACGCGGGCAATCTTGCAGGCTACCGATTTTTTAAACCCAATATTCACATTGTGGGTGAAAAATGATTTTCTATAGGCCTGCCCTAGATAGCCCTACAACACACGCAGCTGGAATGTGCTGGCTTTGTGACGCAGGTCGCATGACAACACACCAAGACGACGGGTTCAACACTGCAGTTGGCCGGATCAATACTAACCAGCACCTCCACGTCCTCACGCGTTCAGCATTCAGTGTGCGATTTATTTTTGTGCCTCTGAACTCAGAGAATGCTAACGTACATGGATAGACCTAAAGCCAACAGACCACCATTAGTGGTTTTAGGGTTAGTAGGCTACCATCCGGGGCGGGGTCAAAATTGTGCCACCCCTTCCACAAAAAAAAAACAAAAAAAACAACTAAAATACAGTTGACCGAAAATGCAATGCGCCACTCCACATGAATAAAAGAAAGTGCCGCCAGTGGCGAAACGCCCCCCCCCCTCTCTTTCTTCCTACCACTGACCACCATCCTTAAAACTCCAAAGCACCTACAAACTGTAAACTGTTCAAACAACGGCTGGTCTGTTTGCTAAGTCTCCATAACACTTAGGTGTTGGTAGCCCGTGGGCCTTGGGGGATGTGTATCAAAAAAAAGAGAAAAAGATAGAGCTATTGACAACCTGAGAGAATGGGGGCCACTTGACTATTTCACATTTGGCTTATGATACAGATCTTTAGAACACAAAATGAAGTAAGACATAACCCCCCCCCCCCCTTTCCCCCAGGTAAAAAAGGTTTTCCCAAAGCTTTTTTTTTTTTTTTATTTTNGGTCTTTTGAATACAGAACAGCATGGCTAAACATGGGGTCTTTTGAATACAGAACAGCATGGCTAAACATGGGGTCTTTTGAATACAGAACAGCATGGCTAAACATGGGGTCTTTTGAATACAGAACAGCATGGCTAAACATGGGGTCTTTTGAATACAGAACAGCATGGCTAAACATGGGGTCTTTTGAATACAGAACAGCATGGCTAAACATGGGGTCTTTTGAATACAGAACAGCATGGCTAAACATGGGGTCTTTTGAATACAGAACAGCATGGCTAAACATGGGGTCTTTTGAATACAGAACAGCATGGCTAAACATGGGGTCTTTTGAATACAGAACAGCATGGCTAAACATGGGGTCTTTTGAATACAGAACAGCATGGCTAAACATGGGGTCTTTTGAATACAGAACAGCATGGCTAAACATGGGGTCTTTTGAATACAGAACAGCATGGCTAAACATGGGGTCTTTTGAATACAGAACAGCATGGCTAAACATGGGGTCTTTTGAATACAGAACAGCATGGCTAAACATGGGGTCTTTTGAATACAGAACAGCATGGCTAAACATGGGGTCTTTTGAATACAGAACAGCATGGCTAAACATGGGGTCTTTTGAATACAGAACAGCATGGCTAAACATGGGGTCTTTTGAATACAGAACAGCATGGCTAAACATGGGGTCTTTTGAATACAGAACAGCATGGGTGTCCTCAACAGGTGGTTTGGGGGAGGGGGTCCTCAAACAACAAACTCATAGGAAGACACTGATAAAAATTTGCTTATTCTAAATTATTGATATCTTTTCAACCGAAATGTTCAAGTCTTTTCAGACAAGATACGATACGATTCTTTTATTGATCCAAATAATAAATATTTTCATTTTCAGCTCATAAGTAAAAACATATTTCAAAAGAGTCACCATTTTAAAATTTTAACAATTTAAACACAAGACATATAAATATTTATTTAGGTTAGACATATTTGTGACTGATGGATTTTTAAAAAGATATTTTCGGTCTATCATTAAACCTGTCGATTTTCTTATGTTTGTCCCCAGTTTTGGGAGGTCATTTCAGACGAACATGGCATTGACCCAACTGGCACCTACCATGGTGACTCTGACCTCCAGCTTGAGAGGATCAATGTTTACTACAACGAGGCCACCGGTGGCAAATACGTGCCCCGCGCCGTCCTCGTTGACCTTGAGCCCGGCACCATGGACAGTGTCCGATCTGGACCTTTCGGACAGATCTTTCGCCCAGACAACTTTGTCTTTGGCCAGTCAGGTGCTGGTAACAACTGGGCCAAGGGACATTACACAGAGGGGGCTGAGCTTGTAGATTCAGTCCTTGACGTTGTCAGAAAAGAAGCTGAAGGCTGTGATTGTTTACAAGGTAATATTTTTAACATTTTGAAAACCACTGCAGACAGTGGAAGACACTCCCCCCCCCCCCCCCCCCCCCCCCCCCCACCCCCCCCCCCCGGAAAGATATGATATTAAGAGTATACAGCAAAAAATTGTATAAAATAAGTCACCTATAATTTTTAAATAGTAAAAGCCAAGCATGTTTATTACAACAAAAGAAATTGCCAGGATATAATAAATGTGTATTAAAATTAAAGCACATGTTAGGGGATGGGGACGCTGTCAGTACTGTCAGGTTGCCACAGCTGTACACATTTTGCTAACCAAATGCTTTGGTAAGCAGCATTTCATTGACCTGCGGCAAGGGTTAGTTTAAAAAATTATTGAATCTTTCAGGATTCCAACTGACACACTCCCTGGGTGGTGGCACTGGGTCTGGAATGGGAACCCTCCTCATCAGCAAGATCCGTGAGGAGTACCCTGACAGAATCATGAACACATTCTCTGTTGTACCATCTCCAAAGGTGAGTTAGAGCCTTTTTTTATAATCACTACCTCATAATCTGAGATTTGTAGGTATTTTTGTTTTTTTGATCTCATCATTTACTGGGATCCATTTCTTGAAATTCTTGCCATAAATTTTTGTGTTAGTGATGTGACTTTATATGGGACCGATATTTTTCTTTTCTAAATAGTGCGCTACATATTTCCATCAACCTCTCAAGTTGTTCCGCTTATTGTTAAACCATTTGAATGTTTGTATTTGACATGTGTTATTAAGCCATTCACACTTGTTATTGATCTTTGCCATATTTCCACTTAGGTATCAGACACAGTCGTTGAGCCCTACAACGCCACCCTCTCCGTCCACCAGCTCGTTGAGAACACAGACGAGACCTACTGCATAGACAATGAGGCTCTGTATGACATCTGTTTCCGTACCCTGAAACTGACCACTCCCACATACGGTGACCTCAACCATTTGGTCAGTGCCACCATGTCTGGAGTGACCACCTGTCTCAGATTCCCCGGTCAGCTTAACGCTGATTTGAGGAAGTTGGCTGTCAACATGGTTCCCTTCCCACGTCTCCACTTCTTCATGCCAGGCTTCGCCCCCTTGACATCCCGTGGCAGCCAGCAGTACAGGTGAGCTATTTTTCTTACCTTTCCACTTTCACTTTTGATATATAGATCCAGACCTCCCTGCTTCTAGTGGATAGTTATTCGGTGCCTGGCTAAACATTACTAATATTCAAGAGAGAGACCCCCACGAGTTACTTGTTGACTTTTGGTACAATTGAACATCTCAGTTTTATCAACACTGTTCACAAGGTAGATAAAAGGGCTCAAAATATTGTATCAGTGGTGAAAACATGCAAATTTGAATAGGCTCTGGTACTTTGTTGAAATAATAATATTAAATGTATGTCCTTGCCATACTTTCTTTCATGCTGCCACTCCCCTCCCCTCCCCCCAAAATCCAAAATGGCTGTTCCAAAGTTCAAATTTTCAGCTCATATCTTAGAATTTTTATCTTTTTTAAACTGTTAAAAAAAAATGAACAAACCCAAACAAATTTTTTTCTCATCAAAAAAAACCTTAAATGAATACAGTCAGAAATGAGTCTGAGATTTTGTTAGAAATGTCTTAAAAACCTTGTTTTTTCAACTCCCTATCTTCAGAGCTTTGACCGTTCCCGAGCTGACCCAGCAGATGTTTGATGCCAAGAACATGATGGCCGCCTGTGACCCACGTCACGGCCGTTACCTTACCGTGGCTGCCATTTTCCGTGGTCGCATGTCCATGAAGGAGGTTGATGAACAGATGCTGAACGTGCAGAACAAGAACTCATCCTACTTTGTGGAATGGATCCCCAACAACGTCAAGACTGCAGTCTGTGATATCCCACCACGTGGTCTGAAGGTAGGTCCAACAGCTTGTGCGTATAAATAAATTTGCAGGTGGGCAGAGTTTGTTCTTATTTCAGTGAGAATTCATCATAAAATGTTTAATTTTTTCAATAAAAAACATAACTTGTGAAGTTCTAAATCAGTGGATTACAAACTTGAAATGATTTATAGTTAAAATTTTAACTAACATATATAATTATACCTTTTACTATCACGCAACATTGCCTAATGAACACAGTCCTGCTGGTAGGCAAACTCTGGTTTGGGAAGGCATTTAAAGGGAACGGGCGATAATATTTAAACTCTTTTGAATGGAAGGATTCTGTCTAAATCAGGGGATCTCAGCCAGGGCTGCAGCAGACAGTGTGATGGAGCGCAGGGGGACATAGAAAATTTTATTTTGTACTTTATGTTTTTCAATCATGGGGATGTGGGAAATATGTTTTGACATGGAGAGGGGTTGCTGGAGATTGTTTGAAATCAAGAGGGGGTGTGGCACTGGTTTTAAGTGATGGCATCATAAAATTAAAAAAAATAAACATTTACTTTTTACTCAAATCACATAATTTTTTTTTATCGGCCACTGTGTCTATGATTACTATGAGATTATTTGATAAAAATGGAAAACCATAATAATTATTTGAAGAAATAGAAATGGAAAGGATTTTTAGTTTGAACTACTGGTACTTACATGTCTGAGTTTTGTTTACCGGTGTGGACTAAGTGTTGGGGTTATTGGTCACTCCCCAAGCTCTTATTAAAATAATTAAAGACAGCCAGGGCCACTTGCAACGAAAATTCATCTACGAACGTGTATTTAATCCTCCACCAACATTATCCACCCCCTTTTTTTAGATGAGCTCAACCTTCATTGGAAACAGCACCGCCATCCAGGAGCTCTTCAAGAGAGTCTCTGAGCAGTTCACCGCCATGTTCCGTCGTAAGGCTTTCCTCCACTGGTACACTGGTGAGGGCATGGACGAGATGGAATTCACTGAGGCTGAGTCCAACATGAACGATCTGGTCTCTGAGTACCAACAGTACCAGGATGCCACCGCTGAGGAGGAGGGAGAGTTTGAAGAGGAGGAAGGAGAAGAGGAGGCCTAAACGGTCCCAAAAAATGAACCCGCCTGAAACTTAATATCAATATTTTTTTTTTTAGTTTACTGCTTTTGGATAAGAACTCAGAAATTATTGATCCAAGAAATTATTGATGTATGAAATTATTGATCTAAATTATCAAAAAAAAACATCAAATGTTTTATACTCAAAAAGAGGCTTCTTTCAAAAGAATCATTTAAAAATTAATTTTTGTTCTTGAAATTTAAAATTTGATGAATGAAAAACGTTAACTAATATTTTTACACATCTTTAGGTATAATGCCAACATTATTTTAACTTACAAAAGTTAGGAAAAGAAAAATTGAAGCATATTTAGTATTTAAACATTTGTGATATTTTTATACAAGCCGTATCAAAGCTCCTGAGTGATATGGTTGGCTTTTTATAACAAATTTAAAAAATGGTCAAAATAAAGTTTTTTTAACTTATTTTCATTTGTTATGGAATTTTATTTGTTTGTCAGGTGGATGGGGTGGGTGTGGAGTGACAGTTGAATAGTGAAAAAGTTGAAGTTGTTGCTAAATCCAGGAAGTTACAATTTTTGCATTTAATTTATTTCAGAAGTTCCATCTTAAGTACTTTTAAACATAGCTTGGAATCAAAACTGTTAAACCTTAATACTTGTAAGTATACCCTGGAACTGGAAGCAAAACTGTTAGAGCAATTACTTTTTAAATAGAGCCTGGAATCAAAATGATTAGATTTGTTTCTAAACTTCTTTGACATTTGGTGTTTGAATATGGTTAATGCCTAGCTGGGTGTTTGACTATTAACAAGATTTGACTGAAGCTTGAGAGCTGCAACTATTGATACCTGCCTGGCAGTACCGAGGAAAAGCTGATCCAGGGGTATACCCTAAAAAAATTACCCCCAACCTGTTTCATCAATATGATAAACAATGCTTTAAAAAAAAATGGATTAGGCTTTGTCACTTAGATCAGGTGGGAAGGGTAGAGTTGAATCAGAAGTGGAAGTTTCAGGAGGAACCCTCAGTAAAGCATTTTACATACAGTACCGGTATTTAAAATGCAATTTGGGCCATATCTGAATTTTTTCATCTTTCTACCCTTAATCTGAGAGCAACTGAAGATATGGAAGTTAAAGTGTCCTTCGACCTGGTTGTGTTAAAAAAAAATCCTCTGTTCAAATTAATTATTAAATATTAATCTTCTCCAATAATTTTCATTACAACAACTTTTATTTCTTTTTTTTAAAACCAACATAGTAAATATATGATTTAAAAATAAAAAGTTAGTCCAAAGTTAGATATCATGATGTGGAAAAGCTGTCAAAAGTCTTCCTTTGAGTTCCTTAGGGCTATAGTTTTAGTTGGCCTGTTTAGCCCTTTCTCTTGATGTGATAAGTGACTGGAGACAGTGGCGTAGCGAGGCAGGTGCGGGGGGTGCGGACCGCACTGGGTGACACCATTTTAGGGGTGACACCCGATTGAAAAATTGCATATTTACAGGGCACACATTGCTCCAAAAATCGAGATTCATAAAAGAATAACCGATCACACATATATTTTTCACAAATTTAACCAATCCAAATGCGTGCTTTATTAAAAGTTCAAGGTTGATGCTATACTGTGGACTTATTTTAACACTTATTTTAACAAGAAAAAATCAGTGATAGAAGTTTGGGGGGTGGGGGGGGGGTGACACCATGAGTTTACCGCACCGGGTGACACCAACCCTAGCTACGCCACTGACTGGAGATTTGACTATTTATATTGATATGAAAAGTGATTGGAGGTTTGACTATTGATATTGATATCATAAGTCATAAGTGGCTGGAGATTTTACAATTGATATTAGTGACTGGAGATCTGACTATTGATATGAGAAGAGTTGGAGATTTGACTATTGATATGATTAGTGATTAGTGTTGACTTTACTATTCCTTTGATAAGTGTTGGAGATTGACAATTGATTTGATAAGGGACTGGAGATTTGACTGGAGATTTGTACTATCACGGATATATGCAATCGTAAACATGTTTGAAAAAATGGAGATAATTCATTAGTACATTCGCGATCATTAATAAATAATTATTCTCAGTTGTTACTTAACCGTAGCCGCGGGCCAGACCGCGAGAGACTGACCCTTGAACTTAGATAATAACGCAGGCCTCAGCCGGGTGCAGATTTGTTGTTGTTGTTTTTGTCTGGGTAACTGGTCCGGGTATTTCGAGACCGTACTCAAGAGGATCCGAATCCGCGTTGGGCATTCATAATTCATCAGGAGTTATCGAAAGAAAACGACAAATGTGTACCACCGAAACGGGAAGAGTGAAGACTAAAAGACTGCGCGTAAGGAGCCAGCAGCGATCACGAATGCATCAAGTTCAAAGGTAAGGGGACAATTCTTTTCAAATTGAAAACTCACGGATTTCAAAATCGTTTTGACACAATCGTGGTGCAAAAAATAAATATTAGTTGTGATTACACGGAGAGCTCTTCTGTCTTTGTGGTGTTCTTTTACAAAATTAAAATAATAATAAAAACATAAAAATGACCACTATTTATCATAATTACAAATACATAGCAATAGCTTTTATCTCGTTATGAGGATTTCTTGACGCGGCTTACATTTAATTTAAAAAAAAAAGATAATTAATTACGTAGATTATTTTTTTTACTAAGGGTAATGTCGATTGAAGGACTACATAAAAACGCATTGTTTCATTTAAATAACCGAAACAAAAGTTATAGATTTAAAACGCTGTTTTTTTAATATTATAATTTATGTATTTTATTTTAATGTCATGATTAGGCCTATGTCTCTTTGCTTATATTTTTGTGTACAGCGCAGTGAGCCCAGTCCTAGGCTGGGGTACCGCGCTATATAAGACCACTTATTATTATTATTATTATTATTATTATTATTATTATGCGACCCACGAGATCAAATTGAGTTAAGATTTAAAGCAGGGTCTCAAACTGGCGGCCCGTGGGCCATTTGCGGTTTTGAGAAAAGTTAGTTAGTCGCTATGCACAACCATAACTGTGTAGATCGTAGCAATCTGAAACAGTATCAACGAATCCCGATTAAAATTCCCACTAATCTTTATGAGTAAGGGAAATTCCTAGCCTGTCAGCTTGGTCACGTTCAAAATAGGGTTAGTCAAAAGGGACTTTTGTACGATGAAAAATCAAAATTCCTTCTCCCTACAATACCTGCTTCCTTCACATCAATAATTCATAAATATGGCCGGCTCCTGCCTACTGTTTGAACACGTTTTAGCCTTCAAAGAAGGATGGGGTGGTTGTTCCTGTACTAAGTGATCCCAAATGGCTCATGAACTTGACTTTTCTTGTTGACATAACACAGGAGCTGAATGCACTCAACAAAAAGTTACAAGACCAGGGGTAGCTTGTCAGTGCTGCCTATGACAATGTTAGGGCATTCTGCACAAAACTTGTGTTATGTTTCTCAGAGAAACCTCTGCCATTTCCCAACATACTAAGTACATACGGACTCGGACACACCATTCAGTAGTAAGTATACTGATGCCATTGCAAAGATAGAGGAAGAATTTGATGACATATTTTCAGACTTCAAAACACACATAGTCACTTTTTACTGTTTTGCTGACCCTTTCTCCTTCAATATGGAGGATGCGCCCCCCCCCCCCCCTGCGTTTTAAATGAAGGTGATTAATCTTCAGAAAACAACAACAACAAACAGATGAAATTAAATACAACTTTCAAGAAAATTTTGATTTAATTTAATCCATGTACATTACGGCCTTTCACACGAAATGCGATTGCCGACAGACGGGTATTCCTAAATTTACATAAGGATAAAGTGTATTAAATGAACGATGTTCAATAGGATGTCTTTTATTCTGCAAAAAATTTTATTAGAGGGAGGTAAGCCGTAAATTTTTTTTTGAAAGATGTTGAACTGGTTTATCTTTCTTGAATCTTTGATCTCAGCACTCGGTAAACGGGATTATTTAGCGTGCAATTTTGTTAGTGTTATTCTGCACATGGTTCAAATCTTGCATCTCAATTTTGACCCACTTCATGATGACCAGTTGAACTGAAACTGAGTACACTTACCCACACCCGATGACAATATGATCCTTCACGATCAGTAGGTCACCAATGACCTCCACAGACCCTTAAGTGACAATTGCGTGTCAAATTTTATTTCACTTTTAGACAAATTTCCTGATATTTAAAAATAGATGAAATTTTGAACAGTTTGACAAAAATGTACAGAATATAAAAAAATACTTTCTGAAAACACACTTTTCCAAAAAGTGTACTAAAAGTATAAAATAAATGTCCCCCAAAATTTCAGAGTTTTACTAAAAAAAAAAATACCGGGACTTTAAGTTATATGACTGTAAAACTTTGAAATTAAATAAAGGGACGGGAAGGGGCGGGGGAGGGGGTATCCCACGACGCACATTTTAAAACTCTTACGGCAGTCCTTCCCAAACTTTGCTTTTTGCCCCACACAACCAAGGACAGGTTGTTATCACCCTGCTCTGGTGGCAGCCTTCTCAAGTATGTAACTGAGTTCTGCGCCAGTGACGCTACTGCTTAAAATATCTTGTTACCAATTCAGCATTGTGATTAAATTGTATCTGAGCAATTTTAGGATCTTTCTTTAATTGCAATTTTAGCTTGGGTGATATCTCTTATATATATATATATATATATAAGAATGAGCTAGAGTAACATAACGCCAAATGGGAGATACTATTTAGAACGTTCGGATTCCTAAAAACAATCATAGTTATTTTCTATTATTTTACAGAAGTCGAATAAATTTAAATGCGCAAAAAAATATTTAAAATCCGCTTTTATTTTAGTAAACGTTTAAGTATTATTATTATAAATTACAAATACATTTAAAGTATCAACTAAGGAACTATTTTAAGCATTTTATATGTGTTTAAAAGTTATGAAAAAATAAAAAAAAATAAAAAATCATGATCAAAGAATTACACCGTATCACATTTATCGGGAAAACCCCAACATCAGTCGCTTTTAGTGCGTCTTTTAGTGCGTTGTTAACATTGCGAAATAAAATTTTAAATTAATTTGTTCTAAATAATCACGCAAATGACGTCATAGCGCGAATTGCTTATTTCTCCAAAACTCTTAGGTTTCTTTAAATTTAATAACCACGCGTGACAAAACTGATGCTGTATTTTCCCTTCTTAAAAGTAAAATTAATAAATACAATTGATTGCTTTTTAAATTGTTAATAAAACACACACACATTTCTGCTGTGTATATTAACATTAAAAAGTTTTGCCTTTTTTATTCCAAAAATATACATTTATTAAAATTATAACGTAATAAAAACTAACCTTGAAATATAATTATAACAAGAAAATGCGGTTTAAGTCAAACAGTGCAGCGCAACTGCATATCCAAATAGCATTGACTAATCAACTTATAACTAAAA